AAAGAAAGAAAGAAAGAAAGAAAGAAAGAAAGAAAGAAAGAAAGAAAGAAAGAAAGAAAGAAAGAAAGAAAGAAAGAAAGAAAGAAAGAAAGAGGCCACCTACTCCACCAGTATCGGATCAGTCTGAGGCCTATAAAACAACCTCTACTAAACCTCTACAAAGTTTAATTTTAGGCTTTGATTACACAACCTATGTTATGATTTCATTACCATAAATTGTGATTATGGCACCATAAGCACATTTTCCATATTAAAAAATGGGACTTTGTATTTTTGGCCCCAGTAGAGGCGAGCTCACAGATTAGAGTTAATACTTTTCATCTGGTAGAAAGGCAGATGATGGTTTCATTGGCCAGTCAGGATGTCTGGACACGGATGTAGGAGCTAGAGATCTGAGTGGACAGAGATGAGTTTATGATCTCTTAATAACCGTATTACGTCACAAAAGGTTGACAGACTCCTACTGGCTACTGTTATACTAAAAAAGGCAACCTATTCGTGTGTGTTGATGTCTCGTCTTGCTTTTTATTATCTTTATTGTACCCTAATTTCACAGTCAGCCACAGCACTCACTCTATTTTTATTTTAATCACTTCCTCCTATCCCTTTTCCTCTACCTGTGATAATAAGTTTCTCTCCAGGCAGCTGACATGCGGGTAGCGAGGAGCTGCATGAAAAGACTGTGTGATGGATTTGTCCATTAAAGCAAGCTGAGCTAAAACCCGCGGAGTCCCTCTGGCTGTCTATCCGTCTGACTTTATACGTTTCTCTCTCTTTTTCTTTTGCTCTTTAATGCAGTCAGACTCTCTAAAAAAACACACACACGCACAAACACCACTCAGTATTTCCCCTGCTGTGAGGCAACAGCTGTAACATTTGCTTTCTTTTAGCAAGAATAATACACCTTTTAAGTAAACACCAATGAGTCACCACAGGACTGTAAGGCTTACACACACTCACTCAGTTCCACCCCAACACATCAGCTACATTCTTTCAAAATAAGTGTAATTTATTTTGTTTGTAATTAAACTTGATTGCTACATGTCCTCATGCAGGTAATGTTGAAATAATCCCGCTTAGAATTCACAAAGAACCAAACATTTGTGAGAAAGGTCAGCTAAACGGAGGACTGTTAATGATCCATGGTCTTGTCCAATATCAGGTGCCTGTTTACAGCTGAGCCACCTTTTCTGGAGTCATTTTTTTTAGTGGGTGACAGTGACAACACCCAAACCTTACCAAACCTTCGCTGTAGTCTCGGTTTGCTTGGCTGGCATCGTCCTCACTTGCAGAAAGTCCAAATGAATTAGCTGCAGTGCAATGCCAGAAAGGTCCAGGTTTCCTCCCCATCCCATGCCAAGCAAGACATCCCCTGTGTGGCTTGGAAAATTAAATCAGCTCATGACTATGTAATACCAAGTAATCCAGTATTTATGGAACATTTATTGAGCAAAACCTGGGAAGGTTAATGATGGGTACTTATGGGTGCAGGGTGACTGTGAGAGAGGCAGATCTCTATGTGTGCATGTGTGTGTGAGAGAGAGACAGTGTGCATAAAGGTATGCACTTATCATGGGCCTCATGTCACAGAGAAGAAGACAGGAGTCTGTATACTGGAACAGACTGTCAAAAGACCTGCTAGCTCAATAAAAAAATACATTGATCTAATCATTGACTGTCTTTCTTAGCTGCTGTACAATCGTACACTGAAAAAGCCACCGCAGTTTCAGGAAAAACTCAAAATAATATGACTCAAACACTGCTTGCCAGAGGGTTTAGGATGAACACAGTTATCAGCTCCATCCACATGCAGCTGAGCACTCTACTGAGCTCTGAATGCTCTTATCTTCAGCAGTCAATTAGGCTATAAATGCTCATTTTGGTTGAATGAGCCTGATCCTTAATGGGTCTTAATCTAATTCCTACTTGTGAAAAAACAGACGTTTACTATGGCTCTATTTCCCAGTTGTGGATGTTTTTTTTCTTTGCTTTGTTTCCAGCTGACAGGGATGATATGGGTGAAAAGGGACAGCTTGAAGCGGCAGGGATTATAATTAGATAATTGTACTTGTGTGCGGTAGTCTCCTGTTTAGTCTCAATGGAGCAGAATATGCAGACGAATAATGAATACTAAATAAATTACGTCTCCTCTGCGAGGAAACGCGGTTTGTTTTCTATTATACATTAGCGCCATCTAGCGGACGGCCGTTTCATGCGGAGGAAGTGACGTCGTCTGAAATTCTTACCAATCAGCAGTCGAGGCTCTCAATTCGAACGGCAACTCTCGGAGGACGGAGGCTGCGATAAAAAAAAATTATTATTTTGTTTCCTCATTTTAAGCGCTAAATGTGTTTTTTGCTCGAGTGGAATCATATAAACGGATTGTGTTGGTGATTTAAATATTTATTCCGGTAGGTTTCATTTGGTGCTGTTTTCGAATACAATGCCAGACTGCAGTTAGTGAAAAGTGCGTTGACAAACGTTAACGGCTAGCTCGCACATTAGCTTCCTCGTTTGTTTTGCTCCGATATACCGTTTTGCTACTGCGTTAAGCTTTTGAACTGCACACTGAACTTCGCCGTAATAACCGATCCCGAGTCATGGTGAGAGAACGGACCCAGAAGAAGTCCTTCCAGCAAAGTCTGGAGGACATCAAGGAGAAAATGAAGGAGAAGAGGAACAAACGTCTGGCCAGTGCCTCAGCCCCCAGCGGGGGCCGGTCAAGGATGATGAACAAAACAAGTGGTAAGTAAATAATCTTTTGTCAATTCTGCCCACCCCCCAGTAAAGTTACCTAATAGAATAGAAAAAAATTGTTGTTATTGAAACAACGAGATTGGGAATGCCTCTCCAGTTTGCTGCATCCATGTTAAACCCACATTCTTGCATTTACTAATCCATGAAGTTACTGAAACACACTATAAGATTGTTTAAAAAAAGGTAGTTGGAACATAAAGCTCCTGGGTCAGCTGAATTCCAATCTGCAGGTGAAGATTTCTGGCATGGGGGATAAGTATAATAAATAAACAGAATGTAAATATAAATTAATTGTGGTAATAGAAATAGAATCTGTGAAACCCAAGTTTTTAATGAGTGTCTGCCTGAGGGCTGCAACTCAAACAGATTGTGGCCAGGCTGAGAGCTGTCATTTACAGCTGTGTTAATGGCCTTCAGTAGAGCTTTTTTGTCAGCAGCTGAGCAGCCAGCATACCACACTGTGAGACGGTGTGTTAATATTCTGATAATGATGCTGACATTTACTGGATTCCGTTTTTCTTTTCTCAGGAAGTACCTCCACGCACACCATCCTGATGGGTGTGCAGGTGAACAACAAGGCGCTGGCTGTGGCCTTGCAGGCTGAAAAGGAGAAAGTGAGGCAGGCTAATGCAGTGATCCTGCAGCTGAAAAGAGAGCAGCAGGCACTCTTCCTTCACCTGCTTCTGCTCAAGAGAAAGCTGAAAGAACAGGAGGCTCTGCAGGCGAATGCTTCAGAGGTACGCACTGTCAGCTGTCAGATTTTTTTAATTTTATTTTTTAAATTAGGAATGTCCTAAGTTATTAGTAGACCATATGAATTATTTTGAGACACTGCACTTTGAATGTAAAAGAAAATGTATGAATTATTTATTTGCTTCGTTTAGACTAAACCTTCTACTGATGCCAAGCACAACATGCATTCAGTTAGGTAAGGTTTTAAAACTTAATGACTTACATAAAAAATGTTACATGCCTTAAACTGAGTGAAATATTGAGATTTGCTTCCTCTTAAATTACAGAAGAAAGCGGACCAGCCAGAACCTGGACCACATCATCTGTGAATCTTCACCAGTTTGTGCAGGTATGCATAAAAATACTTCAATATCCCAGATTTTTGTTACGGTATGTATTATCCATGACTGTTAACTTATTAACCAAATATATTACTTATTGGAGGTCTTTCTTTTAATATAGTAACTTTGGACATTGTCTCAATCTTATTCTTCTGACATTTGCATCTATCTTAATCCTACAGTCAAGACATTGAAATTATTTAATGTGTATGTGCATGTTCATTTGTTTCTTCATAGACCCTCAGCTCTCTAACAAGAATGGGGATCCTCAGTGTGAAAAACAGGTGACCTTGCCATCTACAGTAGGAGTGCGGCGTCAGCGTACAGATAAAAACAGGAGGAGGTCTGAACGTTTGCAAGAGCAGAGGATTCTGGGTGAGGAAGGTCCAGTTCCTGGCTTTGGGTCTTGGATCCCAAGTCCTATTCGCAGTGACAGTGAAAATCTCAGTCAAATGCAAAAATTAGAAGAACAAGAGATGGCAGATCCAGGTTTCGCTGAGGAGTTACAGCACTCTACTCCTGAACCAGTGCCACCCAAAAAAAGCAGACAACAGGTCGCCAGGAAGCAGACACAGCAACAGCAGCTGTCCTCCAAACCAGAACAGGTTTCAAGAAAACCCGAGAGAGGGCGCAAACCAGAGCGTGCCCCATTAAAGAAACCATGGGAGAATACCAAACCCAGAACCAGGTCAAAGAGTCGGGACCGATCAGCCACACGGGCCAAAACGGCACCTCCAGCACAGGGCAATAAACTCAACACTTCACTGGGATTTAATGACACATTTGACTTTGACTGTGAAGAGACCGTCCACATCACGCCATTCAGGGCCAAGGCTGAGGATAATCAGCGAATTACACCCTTGAGTGAGGAGGCTCAAGAAACAGGACAGGCCCAGGCTGAAACTTCACCTGTGAATTCCAAGCACAGTGAATCCAGCTCTTCATCTCCATCTTCTGAATCAGAAGACAGCCTTTATGTTCCTCACAAGACCAGACAGAGACCAGCTTCCCCTAACAAGACCAAGGGCATCACCACTCGTAGAGGCCGGCTCTCCAGCGCAGTCAGAAAGACGGAAAACGT